ATCTCTCAAACTTGTTCAATTTCTATAGTGAGTTCTAGTACAATCACTACATCCACAACCATGGCAAGTGGTACAAAAGATGTGAAATCGATGAAGCTTTGCCTTCCTTGCGAGGCAAAGATGGCCATTTTCTTTCATTCCCTATCTTCCCCCTTTTCCAAAGAAGACATTCGTGGGTGTGTCAATCCTGAATGTCTGAACTATTGTTTTTTGTGTGGGGGTCGCAGGCAATCCTCCATTGCGGATGAATTTGATGAGGCGCAGCTTGTAATACTTGCTCGTCTGCATCTTTGTGGGAGTGAAGGAACAGAGAAGTTGAAAAAAATTATGGAAATTCCAGCTGCGAGGATGACTGAGGAACAGCGTTGTTATGCGAAGGAAGGAATTGATAAGCTTATCGAGGAATTAAGGAAGTATCTTGGAGAGAATCCAGAGATTGGAGTCTCAATGAATGACAATAAGAGTTCCTAAATAGCTAAATAAGGCCATTAATATGCATAAAGGCCAGTATAGGTGGTTAATGCTTTAGATTCAGTTTCTTAACAGTCCTTATATTCCCGTGTTTGAAGTTGAAGTTTTATGTTTTATTTTCTTTTAATGTCGGCCAAACCAAGCTTGCGTCAAGAGATCATATGTCTCTATGGTTATATATATTAATGCTATTTGAAAGTTGAATAATAGTTGTGTCCGTTAAATGGTGGCTTAGAGTGCGCCTCCAGTATGTTAGTGCTCATGGTCTCGAATTTAATCAGATTTTAGGGAAGAAGAACAAATAAAGGAGGGTCAAATTAAAGTCTTGAGGGATCAAGTCTGCACAATAAAGTCAATGTGCTACCTCTAGTCTTAATTATAACAGCTAGTTGACTAATTTAAGAGATTAAAAAAATAAGTTAAGTTAGTTATTATAATAAATATGTATTGTTTTTCCTAAAATATTCTTATTAATCAAGTGTATTGGCTAAAATACCATTATTAGAATAACTTTTTTGGGAAAAAATGCATAAATATGAGAGATGAAATAGATTTGGGTCTTATATTTAAGACCAAAATAAAAGTCTAATAAGATCTTATATTAAGGACTAAAGGTAGTATTAGTTTATTTATCAGCATATGTTTCGTCTTTGCTGTCCTTTTCCCCTATCATCTGTCAGCAACTGATTCATCATCATCTGCATAAACCATGTTTGAAGGTAGTAATACCCACAAAAACAGATGCACATTAATTTCATATAGAGCAAGCAAATTAGAGACCAAAGAAAACAAATAGGCAAAGATTCTGATTTTACATGGATGTTTTTTCCCGTGTGGTGAAGAATGACAAGGACAAATTAAAAGGAATGCAAAAGCTAAAATAAATTGAAGAATCGGGAAGAGAAGATGAAAAAGAAAGGGAAAGAATATGGAGGAAAAGAGAGGAAACAATCCTATTTGAGACACTATCGAGCATTATATCGGCATCTTTTCTAGCAAGGATTCGAGTCTTGTTCACCACATTGTAAAGGATTAGCAACTTCTTCTAAACCTAATGTTCATTAGTAACCTAGTGGAAGAAGATAGACTAAGAGATGATGAGTAGAGTGTGTCGTTTTGTACTATCTTTTTTCACCCAAAAAAAAAGCCCTTGGCTGAATGATATGCAAAACCTCGAAGTTGAATTCCACCCTCAAATTTGTTTTTTAAAAGAAAAATTGTCTTAAAATTGAGATTCTCATTTGATGATCAAAGGCTAGATCTAATATTTTGTTTTATTAATACTAGTAACAATTATGATGAGTACTATATGGCTTAAGAACACCGATAACATGTTAACATTTAGGAAAAATTTCTATAAAATGATAGTTAAATATCACTTGAATATAACAAATTCAAAATCAGTCACAATAACTATATTGGAATTTTAAAATGTTGGTTAATTGAGTTGTAAATATTATTATAAGAGTTACTAATCACGTTATGAATGTTAAAAAAAATCCTAATTTAGTTAATGGCATTAATGAAGTTGTGAATATTGTTATGTTATTAAATGAATGGCACTAATGGCTGACCAGCCAGTGAGGGGTGACTGAGGCTTTTCAAAAAGAATTAAAAGGATAACATTGTAAATTCATCAATATTTCAAAATTTCAATTTGGTTCTTATAACTTATTTAGAATTTTGCAAATTTAGATGACCTTTTGGGTTTGAAAATTCATCTATATCCAATATGCTATTGAGGAGGGGTTTGGGCAGTGAGGGGTGACTGAGGCTTTTCAAAAAGAATTAAAAGGATAACATTGTAAATTCATCAATATTTCAAAATTTCAATTTGGTTCTTATAACTTATTTAGAATTTTGCAAATTTAGATGACCTTTTGGATTTGAAAATTCATCTATATCCAATATGCTATTGAGGAGGGGTTTGGGCACCAATTAAACTAAGAGGGCCTAAATTATCCCACCTTTTCTTTGTTGATGATTTGGTCTTGTTTGGTGAAGCGTCTACGAGTCAAGTGGATGTCATGATGAATTGCCTGAATAAATTTTGTGAGGCTTCGGGATGGAAGGTAAATAAAATGAAGACTGAAGCCTGCTTCTCTAGAAATGTACATATCACGCAAGCCTTAGAACCGAGTCAAAGGATGGGATTTGGTCTCACCAGTGATCAGGAGAAGTATCTAGGGATTCCACCTATACATAGTAGAGCTTCTCACTCTTTGTTCTCCCAAATCCTAATAAAGACGCAACGGAGACTCTCAAAGTGGAAAAGGAAACATCTTGCTATAGCTGGGAGAACCATTCTCATAAGTGTTATTTGCTCTTCCCGTTTATCACATGAAAACTATTCTCCTACCCGAAAAGTTGATAGCTGAGCTTGAGAGGGAAAGCAAGAATTTCCTTTGGGATGATGATGAGAACCGAAAGAAAATTCACCATGTTTCTTGGCAAAATATAATGGAAAATAAGAAAGATGGTGGCTTAGGTATTAAAGGTCTAAGAAAACAAAATGAGGCCTTCGTCCTCAAGCTTTGTTGGAAGCTGAGTTGCGAGAAAGACACTTTATGCGTTCAAGTTCTGATCCTTTGCCTACGGTTACAAAGAAGGCCAACTCATCCCTTACTTGGAGAGGCATATGTGCAGTTTGGAAGATGTTTGAAAAAGGTTTAGGGAAAAAGATAGGCAATGGGTGCTTGACTTCTTTCTAGTTTAAGAATTGGTCTAATTTAAATGTACCCTCATCGATCTTATACCAAGTAGAGAAGGTCTTATTAATAGAGGTGACAGGTCATCGATTATGTTAACCAGATAGGTGATTGGGATTATCAAAAGTTGGCGTTATGGCTACCCTTTCACGTTATTGAGAGGCTTGTGCTTATACACTCACACCGTGAGGAGAGAGAAGAGGACAGATTCTATTGAAAGCCATCGACTGATGGTTGTTTTTCTGTGCACTCTGCCTATTCTTTTCTACTTATAGGTACTCATCGACAGCTGCTAGCGTCAGGAAACTGATATGGAAGTGTAAGATCCCAGAAAAGATGAAATCATTCTTGTGGCTGCTCGCACATAATCGAGCACATACTACTGAACTATGCATGAGTGGAAGCTTAGCAGATTCACCAAGCTGCTGGTTCGAGTGCGAAACTCCTGAGAGTCTGATGCACTTGATTAGAGATTGTTCAAATGCAAAAAGCCAGTGGGAATCAGTAGTTGCTCAGGAGGTCTGGCCACATTTTTTTTCACTCCAGGGGACGGACTAGCCACGTTGGAATCTAAAACAGGATGAAGGACAACAGTACAGTAAGAAGATCCCTTGGTCGACCCTGTTTGGATATATTTGCTGAGATATCTGGTGCAATAGGTGTAAAAAGCTATTTGATAACGCTGATATTGATAATGCTGCTAGTGGTAAGGATAGTTTTTTTCAGGGCATGTTTAGACATGGATCTAATGAGTTTAGGAGCACTCTGCTACAACAGACAACAACATGAAACGATGCCACTTAACCTCCAAGGTGACTAGGTGTGTCTTGAGGTTAATGGTTCTGTCCTTCCTAATCGCAGCAATGGTTGTGGTAGGGTTCCTCGGGATAGAGGAGGCAATTGGATCAACAGCTTCAATGGCAAAATTACGACAGTTCCGCCAGCTATTGTGGAGATCTTTGCTATTTTGTATGGGCTTAATATTTGTTGGAACAAGGGGTTTAGGATAATTTCTGTGCATACTGCTATTAATCTTGTTACTAGAGAATGTGACTCAACATCCTTTTGGGACATTACAGATAATACTAGATTTAGTGTTAACCAGGAGTGGCAAGTTTACATTAGGCACAAAGCCAGGGAGAACATTGTTATCTTGCCAAGTCCTCCCATAACATGAAGGCAAGCTTTTGTATCCTTAGTCAACCTCTCCTATTGTGCAAGAGGTGGAGCTTTTTTTTTTTTTTTTTAAGGTGCTGAGGTTTTTTTTTTTGGTGTCCTTTTCTTTAATGAATTACGGTATTTACTCAAAAAAAAAATCATCTATATTTTTTTAAAATTTTTCCTAATATTTATACAATATGCATCAGATTCCCATGTGCATTTTTCTTGTCTTTTCCCCTTTGCCAACGCGTCTATTTTTCTTTCGTTGCATAAGCATTTAACCAGGTATAAAGCATTCGTCGTTTTGGTAATTGTTTATAGAGTTTTGCCCATGTATATTTTAAACAAGTGGTGTTTTCAACATGAACGTCGCTCAATTAACCTAGGCATTGAATTCTTTCCGATATATCAGGAAAAAAAACAAAAATTAAACTAGTTGATAAGTCATCAGAAACATTAATATACGCATTTCTTCTTTTTTTTATTATTACATCTAGTCTTTAATATAAGAACTAATTTATTATTATATTTAGTCCTTGAAATATCTTTGTTAATCAGGTGTCATTTGATAAAATATTTAGCATATGCAACTATTATAATGGTTACTTTGAAAAAAAATAAATAAATATGAAAGACAATCTTATATTTAGAACCAAAGTGAAAATCAAATTAGCTCTTATATTAAGGATTAGAGGTAGTATTACATTTTCTCAACAGTTTCTCACAATTACCAAAGCACAATGCAATAAAAATAAAAATCCATGCCAGTCGAAACTGGTTCTAGGTGAATTTTCAGAAACTCGATCACCCATCCATGTCAAGAAAATGAAATTACCTTAAAAAAAATCCGCTAGGCATGAGCCCAATATACCTCATGAGGTTCCGCAAAGGCCGAACAGAACCAGACATTGAGCAACATCAAAATGAAAAGCACGTGACTACCTAACAAAATGTATTCTTACATGTTGAGCTTCAACGACATTATTGTTCTAAACTACATCACCTTGAAACAAATATGAGCGAACAAAATCTTCAGCTGCAAACATTTCAACAGTCACAAATGATCTCCAAATTGGAACATTGATTTGCATTGATGCTACCTTGTGCTGATGATTTCAATGCATCAAACAAGCCATTGAATTTATTGTGATCCCTATCAGTACAAATCTATGAGCTCATCTGCTACATCAAAGTTGAAAATTGAGGAGGACAGAGTGCCAACAAGAAAAACTGGGATAACGATATATAAATCCATCAAACAACCACCTGTCATCATATGTTATCCCCTCTGACTGCTTCCAGGTGCGACAATGTGTTCCCCAATATGAACTGTATTCTCCGAATCCAAACTATTTCATCTTGTTGAAGAACCATGATGTTTTTGTCACCGGACTTCATTGATAGAGGAAAAACTTCTTGATCGACATGTCTTATCACCGATTTTCCTTCAAGGCCAAACACAATCCATGTGATGCACCAATTGACACTGACAAAACCTTGTGAGGTCCGAATCCATCATCCTCCATTAGGAAGTTGACTTCAACAGGGGCTGGTTGTACGTCAGGCAGCCCAGGAACTCCCAACTGAGAGTCGTTGGCATTTCCCCACATGTACAACTTACCTTCATCTGCTCACAACCAAAAACAACCCGTCAACTCCTGGACTACATTGATTGGAATAATGGTGACACCTGAAAATATTAGTTCTTTCGTGAAAAAACAGGGCATTTCCTGACTATCTCACCTGAAGCCATTTTAGTTAACAATAAACGCAGCATACTATTAAAAAAAAAAAAAAAGGTGACCCCCCTTGTTAAGTATTTTTGCAATCCACTATTTCCATGACATGTGAACTGTAATACCAAAACATGCTGAGCCTCATAGATCCAACATGCCACTCCAACATGACATTGTACTAGACTTGTGATTAAAATTCTGTTTTAAAACTTCTATCTGAATGTTTCAACAAGAAGCTTAAAACACAGACTTGAGAGTAGAAACATGTTTCAGTTTCATTCTACGCAAACTATTGAAAGCAGCCCAACGATCACAAGACTGAAATCCAGTGATCATCTATTCTTATCTAGTTTTCAAAACGCTGACAGGGCAGCATACCCTGTTGATTGTAAGTCAGTGGAAGGAATCGTGGCTTTCTTGGGTATATTGTTATTTATTACATGTTTAATATATTATTGGGTGAAGGTGCACCCAACACTCTCAACTATTTTCTGAGGTGCACTCAACACCTAAAGTATTTAGTGGGGCAATCTTGCCTCCAGCCTATTAAAGATGGAGCAATTCTCACCCTTGGTTAACATTCCATTAACGTCCGTTTTCTCCTTTTCAATAATGGGCTTTCACAAATGCATCTCACTTCTCCCCTACCGTTTTCTAGTTCAATTGGCATTGAGTCTATCCCCTGTCGCTGTTGAAGAAGACAATGATGAACAAAAATTATTTTATCATGACTGTTGTCGAAGTTCAAGAACTACATTATCAATTTCTTCCTGCTCTAGCACAACCCTGATGGAGTACCATGCATCATCGTCATGGCTCCTAAACTTAACATTGAACTATGAAGGATCATCAGCGGCGACTTTGTTCTGCGACAGTGACATTTGGGGGTAAAATGCCAGATGAACAGGGGCTCTGTAACTCACCATTTCACAGGGACAAGACGAAGACACCAGTTGAAGGGGAAGAAAGTTTACTATGCGAAAATGACAATGATCAAAATCTCATTGGTTTTAATGGCAAAAAAGATCTCATATGTTACGAATAATAAAAAAATTTCAAATGCAGACATAGAATTTGAAGATTCTAGAAGTCTTGCACAATGTTTTGTCGCAAAATCAGCAAAGTAGGGGTAGGGCCTAATTCTTCCCCAAAATTAACATGTGGGTGCTAGTGTTAATTATAGTTTATAATATAAAGGCAATTTTGAATTTTTCTGATCCTCTAATATGATGCTGGACCAATGTACAGTATTATCTCACCTATGATATAATCCCTCTGGTATGACATTGATTCCACCTATTTTTTTTACTCGCCGCTCTGAGTTTATTTCAAAACAAGCTCTTCTTCACCTTAGGCTTCGCTCTCAGCACGGGGTCCCCGCCATCGGCTTTTACTCTGGCAGAAATCGCCATAGGTTTTTGCTTTTCTATGAGTTGATGCATAACGCTCCATAGTTAATATTTTATTATCTGATCCATCATCATCATCTTCGGCAACAACTGGGGGAGAGAGAGGCGCTGACTGGGCTAGAGGATGGAGCGTTTTTTTTTTTGGGGGGGGGGGGGACCAGCTTTGAAGGGAGAAAACAGAGGTTAATGGTATGTTAACTTAAGGTGGAGATTGCACCATTTTTAATACATTAGGGATCAAATTGTACCACTAAATACTTTAAAGTGCCAGATGCACCCATAAAAATAATTCAAGGTGTTGGGTATACCTTAACCCTATATTATTTTATACACATAAAATCACATATCAGCATAGCCTAGTGTTTATATCTCCATGCAACTTTATCCCATTTTTGGCAGCGTTTTTCAGAGTATTACACTGAAGCATATATAGAGGACCAAGATTAGGTAGCTAAAAGTTATTTATGCATTCAATTCAAATGCTGTAGATCAGTGGAATACAGCAGGTAATATGAATTATCTTACCTGTCACAGCTGCCGATGAAGATCCCCCACAAGAAATATAGATAACATGTTCATGAGCTAAAGCCTCAATCACTGTTGGTATCTTTTGATTCTGGAGAGACCCATGACCTAACTGACCATGTCCACCATGGCCCCATGAAAGCACTTTGCCATCATCTAAAACATACATTAAAATTTGAAGTTTAGGTATTCAATATGATATAAATCTAATAAGCACAACAAAGAAACAGCTATCAAGATACCAGTTAATGCAAGGGAGTGATATCCACCACTTGCTATCTGAATTATCTGAACATTTTCAAGAGTGGGTATTGGTTTTGGTTTCCAACCTCCAATCTTATCACCTCTCCCAAGTTCATAGTTAGAGTTGGCTGACAAGAAGAGGTTAACATTGTCAGTTCTCCTAACCAGCTAAACCAAAATTGAAATAAATGCATTGTGCTAGTGTACTAAAATCCAGAGAAAAATATCAAGGCGCTGCAAAGGTGACTAGGGTAGTTACCTCCCCAGTTCCACAGCTGTCCATCCTCTGTCAACGCCATTGTGAAAAATCCCCCACAGGAAACAGCTGCGATGGGGAAAGGCAATTCTTTCACTTTGGAAGGGGTACTAAGTCCACCTGCATGATCTGGGCCCCTGCCAGGACCAAGTCCCAATCGACCATCCCCTTCATCTCGACCCCACATATAAAGCTCCCCTGCACATTTAAAGGGAAAATAATTTCAGAAAACGCCAATGTTGCCCCAGCAAATTTAACATAGCCCAGACAATAGATGACTAGTAGCTCAATAGTCCATACTAACTTATAGTCACAATTCAAGACCACAAGAGACCTATAGTTCACATAGATTCATTTCTGCTACTTTAAGGAATCAGGAAATTGCTGACCCAGCAAAGGAAAAGAACAATGTCACATTTGTCAATATTGGTGAAAGGTGAATTATGGGTTTTGTTAAATCATTTACTTCTGATTAGTGCTATTCAAGGTATTGATGTAAACCAATGATTTCAGTAACATACATAACACTACTAAAAAAATCTATCCAAAAATTTATAAAATTGTTTGCATGCACAATTGTAGATGTTGATTTTGTTAAAAATGAGTCCCTAATGTGACAATATAAAAATAAAAAAGAGCATAATATATCTGTACCAATTAACATAAAGTTATCTCATGTCTCAATAATCAACATAAAATAAAACTGATGCTTCCAATTTTTATCAAATCCAATTCTACCACGAATTGCAGCAAGCCCTATAATGTTTTAAAACAATTTAGGACAAACGTAAAGGAAGAAACAATTGGTACAATAAAGACTTGAGTGCAAAGCAGGACGACCAATTACAGGAAAGAGTACAAATGAACCTGATTCTGTGACTGCAGCAGTATGCGTTCCACTGGTAGCAATATGCCGAATACTTCCCTCCCAGGAGCCTTTTACCAATCTAGGCAACAGTTCTCTATGATATACTGAATGTCCAAGTGCACCAAACCCACCGTAGCCCCTGCAAACTTGTGTCAAATCAACATAAAGAACAATTCACAGTATTTGGGACAGTAAGAGGTTGAACAAATAGGAAACATAAACTTTACAAGCATTTAAATTGAATTTGACCCTTCAAAATGTGATAGCATTTTACATGTAGCATCTGCCTTGCTTCCAAAGAGAACATGATGCAATAAAGTAGTATTATAGTTTTTTTTTTTCCCCTTCCTTATTGCATTGACATCTTAAATAATTTTTCGTAATCATTCCAAGTTTCCAAAAATCATTAGTTTTACCAAAAAGAATATTTTAAAAAAGAAAAGAACAAACAATCAGTTGTCTGATACAATAAGAACTTTTCATTCGTCCAAGACTTTCACCTGATATGTATACCTAAAATACTTTCCAGGCACAGCATTTGTTGAAAAGCATATACACACATCAGATTGCAATATACAAGCCATGTCCATGACAAGAACATTCCTTGTTTTAAGCGTACATGATATATGGTAGTTATATCAGCGAGAGCATTAGGCAGTTAGGATAAATAGGGAAGCAAACTTACAAAATAGGTGTGAACGAAATACTATTTTGTGATATTCTGCTTTTCATGGCTTTTGCCACATATCAATACCGATTAAATTCTTGCACCAAGACAAATCACAAATACGGCCATTCCTTTAGTAATTTAAATCCTATATAAACACTAAAATTCGAACTCTACTAGGTTTGATGAGAATTATAAAGCACCAAAACTCGCTATGTTCTAAGCTCCTAACTACAAATTTCTCATTCCCTTCAAGGATGGCCATAGTCACCAAAATTGGTAAAAAGTCAAAACCATAAGCTACAAGCAGGGTGCTAAGATATATGATTAAGTAAACTAAAATTTTGATCCTTAAATTAATAGACTCATTTAGCTTTAATATGTACAAGTTGGTGAGACTGTGGGAGCATCAGGCAGTCGTTAAAAATAAGAAAAATAGTTCTTTCATGAAGCAATTCAGATATGCCAAAAGGACTAATTCGTGCCAAGTCGTCTAGTACGGAAAATAAATTAGATGTTCACATATTTGGGAGGACTACTGCTAGACCAAAGTGTTATTTCAGTCCAAATGATTCCAATCAGTATATAGCAACAATCTCTCTCAAAAATATGTAAACAAGCAAATGTTGAAGTAATTCAGCGACTCTGACCATGTAAAGACGTCACCGGCCGAGGTGAGCGCAACCGAGTGTAGCCCACCAAGAGCAATGCATCGAAGAGAATCAATGTGAGGGTTTAAAGTAGGAACGAACATCGAATTCTCATGCCCCAAACCCAACCGTCCACCATCACCTTTGCCCCAAATCCAGAGAGTCCGATCGACAATCAAGGACGAATGAAAAAGCCCACAAGATACACCAACTTCAATTGTCTTTTCCCCATCACGGCCAACGTTTACTCCGTCAAGGCCTTTTCTAGAAATTCTGCCTGGGGTTTGGGAGAGAATGAATGAGGTTTTGGGCACAATGAGGTTGGCTACAGGGGAAGGATACAATCTGATTTCTTCGGAGCCACCTCCGAGTTGACCAGAAGCGCCTCTGCCCCATGAGAGAACCTGAAGAGTTGTTGTAGCGTCAGTTTGGGTATTTGTGTCTGTGTTACAGTTAAAGAGAAGAGGAACTTTTCTGGCGGTAGAGGACGATGAATAGTGGCGAGTGAGAGTAGTGAAGCGACGCCGCGTGATTATCATCCTTGCGGCTCAAGGTCCAGTGCCTCCCTCTGCTACAATCTCCATGGCACCCCAAATGCAAAGGGCCTCCGCTTCACCTCGAGAAGGAAATTTTAAATATTTGAATATTAAAAAATAAATAAATGCTCTTTATAAATGAGAATCCTGCAATCACGTCAACTAAAATAGATTTTTATGATGACCAAAAATAAAAACTAATTTATAGACATGTACCTAGGCAATATTTTCTTTGTCTGTAATAATTTTTACTCGGACAGACATTACATTTAGTTTTTTTTCCGAATGAATTACATTTAATTTTTTAGCAGCAAATTTAGTTTAATATTCATTCTAACTTTCCCTAGAGTTCTAAATCAGAGCTTAATTGAAGGTTGTATACATGTTGGATCACTTGGGTTAGTTTTCCAGGACTTTTTTGTTCAAAAGTAATAGAATAATTCTGCTTATGTGGCGAAAAGATCACTTTGTAACCTCCGAGTAATAAAATATCCAGGACCTCCGGCCAGAAATCCAACGTCCATTTTGGCTCCTCGGTTCAAGCGTTCAATTATACTGCCTATATTACATGCTGGCACGCAGCTTAACTAAAGGAAAAACTTGAACAAGTTCTCTGCTAGCATATGAAGCTGATAATATGACAATGTCTCATATGCACATCACACACCATGTTCTGTGATAAACTTAAAAACTAGAATGAAGAATCAGTTGCAAAAATAGCAAAGGGTAAAGGAGTTGGAGTGATCTATGAAACATCATAGGAAGAGGATGCCTCCCAACCCCTTTCTTTCGTGCTTCCAGGGTTCACGTGGAAGAGATGGAAAGACGAATCCCTCAGGTTTCTGCTCGTTGTTACAAGAGCTTCTATGTTCCATTTCAATTGCACCAGTTTTTGACTTCAATTGCGAGTCCAATCTGTCAATGAAGCTGCGATACTCAGATGTGTAAGTTGGGCACACCCCACACTCTTTGATATCCAAGCATCCCTCTTGCTTATTATAAGCGTCCCCAACACCAAAATGAAGCCAGAAATTAAACGAAACCTTCGGTTTACAGGCGTTGCTCTGATCATCTGCTACTTTTTCTTTGAGGGTATCATGTATTTCAGAACAGAAGCTTTCATCATAGCAAAGAAAAACATGATCCGATGTGAAGTTGACATACTTGGCAGAGACATAGTACTCGTGAGTCTCTTCCCATTCACCATAACCAATTTCCAAGCAGGCTTCGCATTCAACTCGAATCCATTCATTCGATGGGGACTCAGGAACAATAACGCAAAAGATGAAACCCCAAGTGTCAGAACAATGCAGAGCAGAAGAGAGATCAATAGTAATGGGAGTTTGTGTTGTCCTATGCAGGAACCATTCTGGAACTCTGCTTTCGCGGTATATAACTTCAACCTTACCATTCGAGAAACTACATTTTTCTAAGGCTGCAACAGATTTGATTGTCTTAGACATAACATTCGATCCAATTAGTTTGAATGAATGTTCATTCAACTAGGCACAGTTTTGGAAGTCAAAGCTTATCTTGCTTGCCTTCAACAGTTCACTACTTGTTGTAGAGAAGTGAAGAGTCTCAAGTGATGGGCAGTCAATGGCTATTGATTGTTCTAATGATGAAGGAAGATCCGGCAGAGACTGAAGTCTTTTACATGAATCAAAGCGGAGATATCGAAGCCTCAAAAGGTTCTTGATGCTTGCGGGCACGCTTATAAGTTCAGTTCCAAAAATTAATAAGATTTCTAATGAAGAAAACATGCTAGTCTCATGAGGCAAGGCTTCCAAAGATTTTAAGCCATCGATTAAGAAACGCAGATTTGATGCATCAAGGTGCATGTAATTATCTCCGGTGTGTAACTTCCCTACAGATAACAGATCACCTGAATTGCTTGGAGTATCAAGTTTTCTACCATCAATAAGAGAGAACGTTTCAAGTTTTCCTTGACTTGTAAGAGATGGTGGCAACTCATTCACTGCAGTCCCCGCTAGATTCAAATGCCTCATATTCTCTGAGGTGACTGAAAATACCTTCAGTCTTGAGCAGTCATAGAGGGTAAGATCACGAAGGGATCTTAGAGGGATGTCACATGTAAGGCTAGTAAGGGCCTCACACCAATCCAATCGCAGAATCTCAAGCTTATGCAGCGATAAAATAGACGGGTGAAGGTCACGCAAGCTTGCACAGTTGCGAAGATAAACTTCTCGTAGATTGAAGGCCTTTGAAAAATCCGGGAGCTCAATTAGATTATAGTAATCGCTGAGGTCAATTTTCCTCAAACTCACAAGATTCTGCAAAGGTGGAAGAGAAAGAAAGATATCCTATCATATAGCCTCAACAAGAATTAAAACATGGGTGCCTATATACTTACTTGCTTTCCATGCCAAAGTATCCTGACTTGGCTATTTCGCATTTCAAACGAAACAAGCTTCTCCACGGAGACTGTCAATGGCAAGGACTTCAAAGGGAAGTTATCCCATTGAAGAAGTCAGAGCTCATTTGGTAGAGATTTAAGGTCTTGAGGAGGATACAATCTGAACTCTTCTGAACCAAAATTATAAAATATAAGAAATTTAAGCTTGCGCATTCTGGCGAAGACGTCAGGACTTAAGCGCAGATCCTCAATTTTTGACATATCCAAAGCCATGCCTTTAATTGACTCAGTTCCCCACAAAGAATTAGAACATAAAAAAATAGTTAAAACAAAGCCACGCATGGTTAAAAAGGTTAAGTCAGTCCAAAGAGGTTAAGTCAGTCCAAAGACTATTAAGTTGGGCTCTTACCGTGTTACATTTCAATATGATAGGATCACGAATCAGTTTGTAGGAAAAGAAGTAGAAAAGGAAACGACAAGATAAGAAAGAGACAAATTAGAGGGATAGATAGAAGAGAAGAAACGAAAGAAGGGAAGAGCAGGAAAGAGTAGAACCAGAATCTGAGTTCTGGGGGACACAGGTTTAACTGAATAATACTGCATAACATTACTGACTTTCGGTCTGAGATAAATACATCATACTTCAACTGCTAATAACTACTTAACACTTAAGATGAAACTGCAAGTAACTAACCTTATCTGCTAACATTAAAACTTAATACATAAAACATAAAAGTAACCGACACTAAAAACATAAAACATAATTAACTGCTACGCTTCTTCCTTGAATAAACTAACGGAGGTTGCGCCTGTGTCCTATCACAATACTTAATAAACATCACCTTGCTCAAAAACAATTCTAGAGGCACAATTCGTTCATCAATTCCAACAAGACCGTCAAAATAATCTATTCGCCAAGACGAACCAACTTCTGTAAAACACATTTGACAATTTTTTCAATCAGCTCAGCTTCATTCCTGAACCACAGGAGAGAAAGGCATCATATAAAACTCAAGAATCCTTGTCTGAATAATAACAATAAAACTAGACCCAAAATGAACTTCTTTTTCCCGTCTATATTATTATTGTTGCATTGTTATTCTGTAAATAAATACGTTGGCATACATAAATAATGACTTAGCCTGCTTGAAATCGCACTGATTCTCAACAAATAACGTAGGGACCTTAATTTTCAAGGAAAATAAAATCATTATAGTAAGATTAAGAATCAGAAAGAAAAACGAAAGACTGATTTCAACATCCGATGTATACCTATAGTTACGAGAATCGCAGCCACATAAATTAGCAGCTCGAGTGAGAGCACTGCTCCATCCTGTCACTCGCAGAATGCCGTGGTTTTGCTTGTGTGTTATAAATGCTTTTCCGTAACTGCTGTGGTCTTGCTTGTGTATAAATGCTTCTTCGTAACAATCTTCCGGTTCCAGTAAATTTGAAGGGCTTACCCTGTAGAAAACTGGAAGAACACGATTCTTCGTATAGTCAGAGTAATCGAAGAGAAGTTTGAGCTCCTTCAAGCAACCCGTGGAAGAAGCATAGTTCTCAGAAAAAACGACCAGAAAAAGGCTCGAATTAGTAATGGCTTGGACGAGCGATGGCGAAACCGTGCTTCCTTTCTCAAGCCTGTAATCAACATAGGTGTCGATTCCATGTCTAAGGAGAGCAGCGTGAAGATGGCGGGTGAAACTTTCGCGCGTGTCTTCGCCGAAGCTGATGAAGACATCATACTGCAGCAGCAGTAGGGCAGAGCAAACGGTTAATCAGTTCGGTTAGTCTCCATAACCGAAATAACCAAATAACTGAAATGATCACAATAAAGAAACCGAACCGAAACCGAACATAATAAACTAACCGAACCGAAATAACCGAAATATATTCGGTTTGGTTAGTGAGCTTATTCGGTTATTGGGCCTTTTATTGGGCTTTTTTTTCAAGTACTATTCCAGCCCAGTACGTAGAAGAAGTCCAAATAGTGGGAAATAATGATTTTTTCATTTTTGGGCTCTTTTGGTACAAAGAATTTGGATATTTGAAAGATGTAATAAAAGTTTTAAATTCCAAAATCAAATATATCAGATTACACACTACATATACTGTGAAACAGAATAATTATTAAAAAGTCAATGTCAAGTTGCAAATTTAATATCCTGAAAAACACCATAACATCCACAGGATTGTAAATATGGTAAAAAAAATGAACCCAAGGCCCAAGCGATCTGAACATTCACCAACAACAAATTTAACACACATAACATCACGGAATTGTAAATATGCTGGAAGGAAAATGAACCCAAGCGATCTGAGAAAGACATTCACCAACAACAAATTTAATATCCTTGAAAACACCATAACATGCCATGAATATGAAAATGGGCGCAGGTGCTTGAGGATCTGACAAAAAAGCACACTTCATGACTGTCAATGAACAAGAAGAAGCACCATCTGAGAGCAAAAACCATTGATCTAAGGAGAAAGACATTCACCAACAACTTTTTCATCAAATACAAATAAACCACCCAAATTAAGTAAAATTGTTTTACAATCATATTATGTTCTGTCTGTGCAATATACCCGTATTAGTTATCAAAGAAAAACATAAATCACTCAAATGAAGAGCAAAAACCACCATAAATCACTCATATTATGTTCTTGTTCATGACTGTCAATGAACAAGAAGAACCACCATCTGAGAACAAAAACCATTGATCTAAGGAGGAAGACATTCACCAACAACTTTTTCATCAAATACAAATAAACCACCCAAATTAATTAAAATTGTTTTACAATCATATTATGTTCTGTCTATGAAATATACCCGTATTAGTTATCAAAGAAAAACATAAATCACTCAAATGAAGAGCGAGCAATGAAAGGCACATGTGGATTATATAAAAAATATCACAGAAAAATCATAGAACACTAGAACAGTAGCTGAAAAAATACGGCCGAAAAAATTTCTACAACTTGAAT